ATGCTTTGTATCGAATGTGTTGCAGAAGGCGGCCTGAGGAATGGCTTCGGATTAGTGATCTGAAAGGTCACCAAAGCATTCCAGCTATGCGATGCTCACATCGTAGTCAATGTCAACAAAAGCCTGCGCCACCCCAGCCCAAGGGGCACTCTTCACGTTCTCCAAAATGACAATGGCAGGTTTGTGACGCTCGACCCAGTTCAGCATGCCATAGAATGTTCGTCCACTCTCGCCTCCCTCCTCCATTCCCTTTTTCTTGTTGTTAAGCCCAGAGTAGTCCACGCAGCTGAACGGTTGGCCCCTAATCAGCCTCCTTCCTGGACTTACGCCTGCCGTCCGCACTCCACACTCACCTAGTTCCAGCAACGAGCAGGTCCACATCGCCAGGTACGTCAACGAGCGCGCCATATGCAGTGTGTGCTTGATCGTCGCCCAGCTCGCAGACATCTCGGAACAAGATCGGGGGCGCAAAGTTTCGCTCAATGTATGCTTGCTTGTAAGGTTCGATCTCGCACGAGAATACGTGATGTACCTCGATATCTATGCCGTGTTGCGCCTTGCACGCCCGCGACATGAGGTTTAGAGCCAGAAGCGGCGACTCGGTACCGCTGCACATGGTAGCGACGCGAAGAGGACGGCCCTAGTAAGGTCGGAGAGAGATTGTACGTCAGTAGCGTTTCTCGATCTTGCAACGCGCCTCCAATTACTACAAGCTCACTTGCAGTGTCTTGGCCAGCTCTACGATGGCAGTGGTGTCGCATCTCTTGACGATGTCGGCAAAGATCTCGTCAAGGTCATGCATGGGAGGCAGTCGACCCTCCAGAGCGTCGTCTTTGGCGGCCGCAGCCATCAGTGTGGCTTTCGGCATATCCGGCACAAAGTTCCGGTACTTGACCTTTCGATCCTTGCGGAACTCTGGCACCCAGTGGACGCTGGATGACGTGGATGGCTTCGATTTGGTTGAGCTCGCACTCTTCCTGCGCTTTTTCGATGGGCCGCCAAAGTCGCTGTCATCATCAGAAGCGATGAAGTCCGGCGTTGCGCGTTGGACACTAACAATCAAAGACGTGGTAGAGGCGAGTGAGTAAGCAGATTTTCCATCCAATCTCAGCTTCTCACACGTACCGGCTCGACTGGGACTTCGCAGGCGACTGCGCAGCCGATTTCCCGAAGCTGAGCCGAGTCTGCCTGAACTTCTTGGTGCTTTGCCCTTGAGTGACCGTCACTATCGCGAGGCTGCTCTTTGCCAGACCAGCATCCACTTTTATGGGAGCGACGACCACTGGATCCGTTCCGTTCTTGAAGCAGTCGTCATCGAGCACCTGATGGGTCGTTGCAAACAGCTCTTGGTTTAAGCCCTGTGCATCGCGACGCTTGCAAGGGTGCACGCGCTCACCTCGAAACGATTGCCAGGCTGATTCATGGGCGTTGTCACTTCGCTGGACTCGGCGCTCGCCCCCATCGACTCAGTCAGCGCAGGAGTACCGGTGGATTCCCGCTCATCGGTGGACTCTTCTTCCTCAGCTTCGGCCACGTCCTCGTCCTCGTCCTCTTCATCGCTCTGATCCTCCTCCTCCAAGACAAAATCGGATTCCGAATCCGAAGCGATACGCTTGCGCTTGCTGCTCAATGCCTTCTTTGGCCCACGCAGCAACTCCTCGTCCGATGAATCTTCGATCTGATAGACGCGCACGCGGGTGCGCCTGGAGCGCGTGCCCTGGCTTGATGGTGGGG